AATTTATTGCAAAACGAATAAAATCTTGTGTTTTTTTGTATTTATGAGTAGGCTTCTACCTTAAGTTGCTTTCACAATTGTGGGTTGACCTCATACAGATTTATTCATTTTGTGTCAACACCCGCAATTATTAGTTTTGTGACATTAGTTCAATTCTCACATGGCCTTATACAGCAAATATGGTTTGAGACGTTACATACATTACAACACAATATACTCGTATATCATTATAATTCTTTTATTCAAATTCATTTCTATATATATATATATTATAATAATTTGAAGTGATACAGTGGATAATATAATCACAGTCAATTATAGCACCAGTCTTAAGTAGACACATTTTTACTGTCAAGTATATACCACAGAATTATGGAGGAAAACAATATGCATATGATATTGATAACTTTCTGTATCTTGATTTCAGGAAATGTATTTTATCATGTCACGACACACTTTGTGTTAGACAACGTGAAATATCAATAATGCACACTAGATGATAAGCTTTCGTAAGAAACAAAAATATTTTGGGTTTCTTGTCTTCATGCAGTTAAAAACAAGTACATCACAGCTTTTTTTTAGGTATTTTGGCAATATTTTATGAGAAATGAAAGTAAAAAATTTGAATATCAGCATAAAGGCAACAACCTAAATTAGAATTATTTGAAACACATTTATTTAAGAAAAGAAACTGACTCAAATGTGACATTATTTTTTGCCATTCTATGTATTATTCTTAGCTGATTGAATATGGGGCACAAATTACAGTGGCTCACCATATGCTCTATGGAAAATGATTTTCAGAGAACAGTCTTCCCATGATGCAAAGACAAAACTAAGTGTAAACTTTCAAAAGTCACACTTTGAGAATTTAATTAAATGCAAAACACAAAATAAAAGTTTAAAAAAAACTAATTTAATTTACATTTTCACTTCATATTAATTGCAAATTTTGATTTTTCAAGTTATATAGCTGACGTTAGACCTTGCCAAAAAATTTAAATGTTTCTTGTGAAATTATTCTTTCGAAAATGAAAGAGTGAGATGATTTTTTTTTAATTTGTCTAAAGTATTTGATGGCACATACATTTTTCTTGTTAACAGAGGGCACTGTGCAGTGGAGGAATAACATTACTTTTGTCTTAAACCTTATACAAATACCGGTACTTTTGTTTAGTGTGTTCCTGAACTATAAAAGCAAAAAATTAGAAGAATTAGAATATATTTTGAAAGCTGAATAAAACAATGTTGAAATAAGTTGAAATTGAATTCATTGTATATACGGTAGTTATATAAAAGATATATTTGTATATCAGCCCTCTAAGTTGCTACTAATTTGGTAGCCACAGTAAATATTTTTTTTTATTAGGCAATTGTCTGCCAAATTGACATAACAATTGAACTATAATTTTAATGCATTTTCTGCAATGTACATGAAAAAAATAATGTAAGATTTAAAAATTAGATTAATTAACTCTGAATTTCAGAGAAATCAAATATTGTTTACCAGTACTACATTTTCCTCAGATAAAAAAACTGCTTGCCCAAGCCAAACTGTGCATTTTTCCCAACAAAATTATTTGTTTCTGGTGATCAATTGTGTCAGTTCAAGGGGAGCAGGTCAAAATTTGTTTTTCTGGTTTTAGCCACAATATTGTGAAAATGGAGGAAAAAACGATATGTTACTACATAATATATAGACATATATATGCTCAAAACAAATATTTTGTTAGCCTTACTGAGTCCAAATTATACTACATAAAAACAAACAAAACTACATAAATTTCTGGAATCTCAGTGGATTGTTAAAAATGTTAGTAAAATTCATAAACAAGAAAAGCAAGCAAGAATACATATACATACATACTACATGTAGTAAATTTACTAATTCATCTTCACACAAATCTTAGTTTACTAGATTTAATACTGACAGTGCAGTCCTGGTAATAGGTATGTGTTCTATGTAACATGAAATATGTAATAATAATAATATCTAAGTAGACACATAGTTCAGACAAACATTTTCTGGCTGTATGTGCATACTACATACTACCAATTTACCCAAGATGACTTTGCTAAAATAAAAGAGATTTTTGACTACCGGGGTAAGTATCACATGGACCCAAAAAAATGCCAAAAAAACTCAGACATGTAGCTTTAAAAAATGCATAGCAAGTTATGTGATAAGCACAGAATGAGCAAGTCTAAATTCATCTAATGTGCTTGCTCCATCCGAATATGATTTCTTCATCTTCACACTTGGTTTTCAAAAATGCTTCATTCTCAAATCCGAGGTCAAAATACTTTTTTAATGATGGGAACTCATCAGGCATCTCAAATTTCTGTTGAATAAAGAAAACAGCATTGTCTATTTATTACATACATAACAGTGTGACGTAACACAAGGTAGATCAAAAACCCATATCACCACAGTGTGATGTAACACAAGACAGATCAAAAACCCATATCACCACAGTGTGACATAACACAAGGCAAATCAAAAACCCATATCACCACAGTGTGACATAACACAAGGTAGATCAAAAACCCATATCACCACAGTGTGGCATAACACAAGGCAAATCAAAAACCCATATCATCACAGTGTGACATAACACAAGGCAGATCAAAAACCCATATCACCACAATGTGATGTCACACAGGGCACATCAAAAACTCATATCACCACAGTGTAACATAACACAAGGCAGATCAAAAACCCATATCACCACAGTGTGGCGTAACACAAGGCAGATCAAAAACC